CATATTTCCTTGATAAGATTTTTGCTTCGATAACCCGATTTCCGAGTCAGTGATGATTAATCTTGTTCCATTACATAGCCCTGAAGATGGGTCTATATTTCTCAATAACATCACTGGGACACCCACTTTCAAAGTGATAACATGATTTGAATTCCAGAACACTTAATAGTGTTTAGGAATTCAAGTGTATGTACGTGTTCCAAACCTGTAAAAGCATCGTCTGACATGCAAATTGTATCGGAACTGTCACGACCCATTTTCCATAATAGGTCATGATGGCGCCTAAAACCGTTGTCAGGCCAGCCGATGCGGAATGTGATTAAGTTCTCATTTTTCTTTAGCCAAAGACAGTTATACTAGATTTTCGAATTTAAAAGATAAGGACCAGTAAAGATCATAAAGTGCTAAAATAGCGATTACAACCCCAAAATAAATGTCTACTACTGGGTGTGCCAGAACCTGGTGTCACAAGCTACGGGCGACTAGTAGAATATACACCAAAGAATAATACACTATCCTACTGTCTGAATCAGATTAGACAGAAACAAAAAGTACATGAAAGGACTTCTTCGGCTGCGGTCGGCATGAAAGAGAAACAGCTCACCGTAGAAGTCCCCAAGCGTGCTCACTGATGCGCACCAGGATGATGTCCAGATCCACCTACCTCAAATCCTGTACATTTAAGTACAGAAGCGTATAGTATGAGTACATAAACCACATGTACTCAGTAAGTATCCCGTCTAATCTCGAAGAAGTAGAGACGAGAGGTCGACTTGATACTTACTAAGGTCAAGATAATATAATAATAAGGTGAGATATACAGCATGAAGAATTTCCAATAACACAAGTTTAAGAGAAGAGTCATATTCATGTTCTTGACATAATTAAACTACCAGTTTTCCCTTTTTCATATTAAACAAGTGATCATGTCATATCTAAATGTAGGCATATAAAATCATGCACAATCATGCCGAGGTCGACGGCCCGCTCCAACAGAAAATAAAATTGTGCACTGCGAGGGTCGAGCGGCACGAACCATAGATGCATCTATTCTCACCAAGGCGATCGGCCCGGTCCATAATCATCAAGAAAATATCAGGAAAGCACATAAGGCTCAATTACATACAAGGGAATTCCTACCAAGACTCAACAAACTCATAAGTTCACTTTTCATTTCCTCAAGTCTCTAGCAAATCATAAATGATCATATTGGCAATTTAAAACAAGAAATATTCCCCAATTAGACATGACGTGGGTCCTAAACTACCCGAACAATTATCATTATAGTAGCTACGCACGGACTCTCGTCACCTAGTACGTACGTAGCCCCTGCATTTAACAACAATTACTCATTTATAATCCTATGGGGACAATTCCCTCTTACAAGGTTAGAAAGGAGACTCACCTCGCTCCAAAGTGCACTTCCAATGTCCAAGAACGAGCCCAAGTCCTTAATTCGAAGCCGAACAATCCCAAACTAATCAAACGAAGTAAGAACTAGTAAATAAAGGCTTACAAGGTCGAACTCTAACTATTTAGGCAATTTTCTAACCATTAACACAAGTTTCCTAAATTCCGACCCCGGGCCCACGTGCCCGGATTCCGAGATTTTTCTAAGGAAGTTGTTCTCTATCACCTAAGGATCACAAATATATGATTTCTAGTTCATTACATGGCAAATTTTTATGATAAATTCTTAGTTTTTATTAAAACCCTAGGTCTAGCTCAAATTCTTGATTTTTTACTAAATTTTTGGTGTTTAATCTACCTAATATACATGTATTTAAGCTAAGGATGAAGGGAAATTACTTACCTTACCAAGTTATGTGGAAACCCTCTCTTGGAAGAACCCAAATCGCCTAAGTGTAGAGTGAAAAATGAGAGAAATGAGTTTGAGTTCGTATTAAATGAACCCTTTTGCCCCCAATTATTTTCGCATCTGCGGAAGTATTTCCGCTTCTGCGGAATCCGCTTCTGCGGAATTTGGCCGCTTCAGCGGCTTTTGGGATTTGGGGCTCGACCTCTTCTGCGGTCTGGGGGCCGCATAGGCGGAACCGCTTCTGCGGTCCCTGGGCCGCTTTTGCGGTTTCCCCTGGCCTGCCCCTTCTCCGCTTCAGTCATTTTCCAAATTCTAACTTCACTCGAGCCTCGCTCGTTTGACGCTCGGGGCTCCCGTGCCCTGCCTGAACATACCGACAAGTCTGAAATCACGAGGCGGACCTACTCGAACCCTCGAAACACTCAAAACAACGCTAAATCGAGGAATCAACCCCAAAACCAAATGAATCAAATCATTGAACTTCAAGTTCTTAATTCTCCTCCAACGGGTCAAAACGCCCTTAAACTACTCGGATTGACTCCAAATTTACGGGTAAGTCTTAACTGATATTTCGGGACTTTACCAAGTTTCGGAATCGAAATCCGAACCCGATACCTAGGGAAAACAATGATTTCTTAGTTTAGTTAAACCTTTGAAACTTTAACTTAACAATTTCACATAAAAATTTATTACTCGGGCTAGGGACCTCGGAATTCGATTCCGGGCATACGCCCAGGTCCCATATTTTCCCACGGACCCTCAGAAATTGTCACATCACGATTCCGGGTCCGTTTTCCCAAAATATTGACCGAAGTCAAACTTGGCCTTTTTTAAAGAAACTTAAAGAAGCAGCTAGACTTATTCTTGCTCAAAACTCTTCTAAATTCCGAACCACCCATCCCCGCAAGTCATAAATTAGCTAAAGCAAGTGCGGGAAGTCTTATTTAAGGGAACGGGGTTCAAAAATACAAAAACGACCGGTCAGGTCGTTACAGGAACTCAAAAATGTTTTTGGTTCACTTTGGTTTAGTGATACCATGTATTCGTTGATTGATTCAACCATGTCAAGAGTGGAGCAAGAATTCCTCTTTGTTGCAGGTATGTTATATCACTGCAATGAGTTAAAAAATCTGGATATGTACTTTCCACAATAGAAAGAAATTGGATCGCCGGAATTATTTATGATAAGATCATCGGGATGTGAACTTTATCAATACCATCAACAGAATTTCCAATCATACCATCACCTATTGCTAAAATCCAATCAGAAAATTGTCTTAGATCATTCAAATGTGAATCCACCTGATTTCCTTCCAACCTCATATTTTTTGTTAGCTTTAAGAGTTGACAGTGATTCCACAAATACGAAGAATTAAGGGCAGCGCTAAATATCTTGGCTAGTACCTTTTGGAATGACTGGAAGTATTTGTCTAAAGTCTCCACCAAGAACAACCGTTTTCCCTCCAAATGGTCGATCTAAATTGGATGCATCTTTAAATCTAAGAATATCTCTTAGAGTTCTGTCTAGAGCTTCAAAACAATATCTATGCATCATTGGTGCTTCATCCCATATAATTAACTTTGTCTTGACAATCAATTTTGATAAAGGAGTACCTTGTTTGATATTACATGTTGAATCTTCAGTTGCATTGAGTGGGATTGCAAATCTCGAATGAGCTGTTCGACCTCCTGCTAACAAAAGAGATGCTATTCCACTGGACGCAACTGTTAACACAATATCTCCTCTACATCTTATGGCAAAAGACAAAGTTTTCCAAATAAATGTCTTCCCGGTTCCTCCATGACCATATAAGAAGAAGAATCCACCTTTGTCCTCATGCACTGCTTTGATAATTCTGTCATAAACTAACTTTTGCTCCATTGTCAATTTAACCAATAATTCTTCATATTCCTTAGACAAAGAGCACCTATTGTAACGCAATTCTTCACAGATTAGTGTATTGGTGTTGTCAACTTCCTCTTCATTGAAATCCGGTCTTGGCATTGTTGGAAAATCGTATAACGTTTTGCCGCAACCTTTCAACAAATTTTCCAACTTTTGTAGGCAACGATTCTTTTACTTCATCGTTTGTTAGCTCAGCCTCTAAAATAACAAAGTATATAATTAATTAATTGATAACAAAAATATATAGTTGTCATGAGTCATATAAAGATAAGACGAAAATAATTTCCTTAAGAAATAGTAAAAGCAAAATAATGTTACTTTACTTCGTTGCAAGGCTACATCGATTATGTGTCAAACAAAAGATATTAAAAATTAATCACTCAGAATTTGCAACCCTAAATGTCGATCGTACATTACAGTGAGATTTAATTTGTATGCAAGAATCATGTAAAAATATTTTTAGAAATTGTTAATATAAAAATCTGAAGTAGAAGGTAAATTTGTATACCTGGATTATCCAATATTCTTCTTTCTTCATGTAAGATATCATCTGATAATAAAATTCATGTTGCCTCCCAAACATATTCTGGCCGTGACATTGAATTGGATAATAGTAACATAGCAAATAATTGCCTAAGATATGATGGCATTCCCTAGTTACTTGCCTCCTTTATGGCATCGACATACTCTTTGTCATCATCTAATAAAACCAGTGCATAACATGCATCTCTAAAAGTTAAATGTTCGTGATTGTTGATTCTGTGTAAATCCTCATAACTTTTAGGTCCTCTAATGACATTCAACAACATTCGAAGGTAATATTGCTCTCCACTTCCAGGCGGTACAAAGAATATTCTCCCTATTGAAAATGCAGAATTTCTTCTTTTTTTCCACTTTTTTAGTTTTTTATTCCATACAAATTTAAGAGGAAATTCCGCATAGGTTAATTCTCTTGCTTCTTCATATGCATTGTTTGCCTCAAACCAGCTTAAAAACTTTGATTCCTTTACACTTGGTCTATTGGCAACATCATCAATTGGATCATCATCAGAGAAAATAACTGTTAGTTCATTTGGTAGATGAAAAGAAAGTCTTTCTACCGAAGGTTCTCTATGGTTAATTGAAAATTTAAAAATTCTCCAAGCAGCTTCACACGGTGATATGTATCGACAATCATAATACATTTTTATTTCATCAATAGCCGATGAGTCTTCCTCATGCACACTTTGAGAAAATGCTGCAGTTACACGATCATGCCCCTTATTAACGTACTTAAATAAGTACTTGATTGATCGAGATTGATTGCACCATTCAACATTTATATGTGCGCCATACTTCAACAATAAATATCTATTGTGTGGCACCACGTACCTGTTATCCAAGTCAATACCTTCTTTGTTGATAGTTTTACCATTGTCCCTTCTTTTATAAACAAGATATCCATCTTCATCAGTTGTGGTATTTTGTACAAACTTCTTTGGAAAGTGTTTTGTACATCTACCATTACGCATCCAAGGAGATGATTTTCTAGCAAAACCACACGGTCTGTGCATCATGAAATTCTTAACGGCCTTATAATATACGGATCAACTGATTCGTCAGGTATTTCTGCCTGAAATTATTTATCTATGTCTCCAACATTGGATATTTATTAAGAAGAAAGAGCAATATGTGTGCATGTGGCAACCCCCGCTTTTGAAATTCTACAGTATATATCACTGCAAAAAATAATAATTTGTGATTGGGTAATGGTTGTAATTTATATGTAAAACAAAATATTTTATTAAATCATATTATAAATGTTATAACAATTTATTAAAGAGATTAATTATATACCTGATTTAACTGGTCCAAAAATTTGTTTCTCTTTCAAATCCTTTATTAAACGATCCAACTTGATTTTGAAGACCCTACATAAAATGTCTGGGCGATCTTCTGCTTGCAAGCCTTGATTTTACAAATCTAATAATTTCAGGCCACTTTGGGTTGCAAGTAAATGTGATGAAAAGATTTGGATATCCAGCCCACTTGCAGATTGCCATAGTATCTTGATAATTTTGAATCAGTATCTGTACCCCCTGTGAAGCCAAAAAGAATTACCCTTTTACCTTGAGAAGAAGGATTTATCTCTCCATGTAAAATAGCATCTTTAATCCTTTATACATATTGAGCTCGCAATTGTTTTTGATTGAGATCTGATATACTTCAAACCTAGACGATTCAAACCATTGTAAATCCATCGACCAAGAATTGTGAATAATCTTCTTGAGTTCACAATTGTTGCTATTTCGCCATTCCTTTCTTGAATTTTGTATGCAAAATATTTTACGCATGCTAACAAAATTCCTTCCTCCAGTTGATTCATCTGTTCCATTTAAAGGAATGTCTTCCCTATAACCATCTTCACCAAATGGAAACAATAAAGGATACTGAAGACCTAAATAGGCAGCATTCAACTCATTTATCCTTTGTAGATGTCCAGATTGGGGTTTCAACGATGATGTCTTCTGTCACATTAGATACATCAAAATCTCCAACTACCAAAGCAACAACCTCTGAAAACTGTTGTAAGTTGTATCTTCTTCCATCATAGTTCCGTTTTCTATCAATCTGAGTCTAAAATTGGATTGAGTATCTTCCTGAAATTTGTCTCTGACCATTCTAAAAGACTTTGTCATCTCTCTCTACCCTATAGCCCCTCGAAGATAAATACAGACGTCTCCGTACCGATCTACAAGACTCTATTAGGCTTGCCCGTAACTTGTGAGACCTACGTGAACCTAGTGCTCTGATACCATGTTGTCACGACCCATTTTCCCATAATAGGTCATGATGGCGCCCGACACCATTTGTCAGGCCAGCCAACGCGGAAGTATAATTAAATTCTCATGTTACCCTTACCAAAAACCATTATAATAGATTTTTCCCCCAATTAAAGTCATAACCAGTAAGGATCAATAAAATGTAAAGACAGTTATACAACCCAAAATAACGTCTACTACTGTGTGTGCCAGAACCTGGTGTCACAAGCTACGGGCAACTAGTAGAATATACACAAAATGAATAATGCCCTATCCTACTGTCTGAATCAGGATAGACAGAAACAACAACACAAAAAAAATACAAGGAAGACTTCTTCGGCTGCGGATCGGCAAGAAGGGAGTGCAGCTCACCGTAGAAGTCCCAGATGCGCTCACTGATATGCACCAGAGTGATGTCCGGATCCACCTGCCTCAAATCCTGTACATTTAAGTACAGAAGCGTAGCATGAGTACATAAACAATATGTACCCAGTAAGTATCCCGTCTAATCTCGAAGAAGTAGAGACGAGAGGTCGACTCGATACTTACTAAGGTCAATTAATATATATGTATATATGTATGATGTATTCAAATCATGGAATTCACAAGTATCAACAATTTATGGCAAGTGGTATAAGTCAAGAACTTTATAGCATCAAGTTTATAATTTATCATATGAGATAATGGCAAAATAAAGCATGTATAGGCTTTTCCACAATTAGCATGCGCACATAATACCGAGGCGACGGACCGATCCGACAGAAATAAACTGTGCACTTGCCGAGGGTCGACGGCGCGCCTATAGATGCATCTATTCATACCGAGGCGATCGGCCCGATCCACAAATAAGGATGAAATATCAAGTTCACACACATGACACATAAATGGTCAAGAATACCAAATCAAACTTAATTAACTATACAGGTATGCTCCTATCCCCTTTTAAGTCTCTAGTACACACTAGGTGTTCATAACAACGATTTAACATAAGAGATATATTTAATAGGCATGTTGTAGACCCTAAGCTACCCGGACATTTATCATAGTAGTAGCTACGCACGGGCTCTCGTCACCTAACGCGTGCGTAGTCCCCGCATTTAGCAACAAACACTCAAACATTAATCCTAAGGGGACAATTCCCTCTTACGAGGTTAGAAAGGAGACTCACCTCGCTCCGAAGTGCACTTCCAATGTCCAAGAACGAGCCCAAGTCCTTAATTCGAAGCCTAACAATCCCAAACTAATCAAACGAAGTAAGAACTAGTAAATAAAGGCTTACAAGGTCGAACTCTAACTATTTAGGCAATTTTCTAACCATTAACACAAGTTTCCTAAATTCCGACCCCGGGCCCACGTGCCCGGATTCCGAGATTTTTCGAAGGAAGTTGTTCTCTATCACCTAAGGATCACAAATATATGATTTCTAGTTCATTACATGGCAAATTTTTATGATAAATTTTTAGTTTTATTAAAACCCTAGGTCTAGCTCAAATTCTTGATTTTTACTAAATTTTTGGTGTTTAATCTATCTAATATACATGTATTTTAGCTAAGGATGAAGGGAAATTACTTACCTTACCAAGTTATGTGGAAACCCTTTCTTGGAAGAACACAAATCGCCTAAGTGTAGAGTGAAAAATGAGAGAAATGAGTTTGAGTTCGTATTAAATGAACCCTTCTGCCCCAGTTATTTTCGCATCTGCGGAAGTATTTCCGCTTCTGCGGAATCCGCTTCTGCGGCTTTTGGGATTTGGGGCTCGACCTCTTCTGCGGTCTGGGGGCCGCATAGGCGGAACCGCTTCTGCGGTCCCTGGGCCGCTTTTGCGGTTTCCCCTGGCCTGCCCCTTCTCCGCTTCAGTCATTTTCCAAATTCTAACTTCACTCGAGCCTCGCTCGTTTGACGCTCGGGGCTCCCGTGCCCTGCCTGAACATACCGACAAGTCTGAAATCACGAGGCGGACCTACTCGAACCCTCGAAACACTCAAAACAACGCTAAATCGAGGAATCAACCCCAAAACCAAATGAATCAAATCATTGAACTTCAAGTTCTTAATTCTCCTCCAACGGGTCAAAACGTCCTTAAACTACTCGGATTGACTCCAAATTTTACGGGTAAGTCTTAACTGATATTTCGGACTTGTACCAAGTTTCGGAATCGAAATCCGAACCCGATACCTAGGAAAACAATGATTTCTTAGTTTAGTTAAACCTTTGAAACTTTAACTTAACAATTTCACATAAAAATTTATTACTCGGGCTAGGGACCTCGGAATTCGATTCCGGGCATACGCCCAGGT